CTTTCATCAATAAAACAGACAGAAATCACTTTATTTGGTGGAACGTGTTTTGTCCTAAGCATTCTTTTTAAATAGCTGTGACATTGTCAGTGTTTGGCTTACTATAAAATTTTTCTTTTACTCAGCCATGTCCAAATATTACACACACACACTGTGGCTTGAAGATGCCAAACTCTGTTGTGTCACAGAACTGGAGAACTAAAGAGTCGTTAAAGGAGAGGGATATTGCCATGTGAACAAATTGAGTAATTTATGATGAAGTCAGTCACCAGTGCATTGGACTTTAACCATGTGCTAGAGCATGCTTCATTTAAAAGTCATCTCAGTCATATTAAATCGACAATATGATGTCATAAACAAAGCTAAAATCAGAAGTTAGGAGATTTTTGGCTAAGATAAGTTAGGAGAGGAACTAGAAGCTTATAAATGATCAGTCTGGAGTAGGATATATAGGCTTAAAGGGTTAGTGAGATGCTTGAGAATATGATTTTGTGACTTGAAAGGGAGATCTGAGCTATTGCTGTGAATTGAAAGAGCCTGTGCTTGTGGAAGAGATTTATTTAAATCTAAGCAGTACTTGTGCTCACCAGTACAGTAAAAGACTGGGTAAAATTTGGAGAAGAATCAAGATAAAAGGATATCAGGGATAAAAGAATGAAGTTCTATAGAAACTAAATACAGAGGTAGGGACAGAAGTGCCAGGTAACTCAATAAAAATGAACTAGCAAAGAGATCAATTGGTAACTGTCACAGCTTCCCTTTGGTGGCTCATTAATTAAAAAAAAAAATTAAAATGTGTCTTTGAAATTGTATACATTCTTACCTTTTTAGTTCTAATTTTGGGAGAGTTGTTTTTTCCTTGGGTGCTTTTGTTCATTGTAAAGCATTATAGCATTGATCCTCCACCTGATGAAATAGCCATGAGCGGATACATGTATTACTGCTATCTTTAAAGTACTTTTAATCTCATTTATGAAATAACATTGATTGAAAGATTTTAATTCCCATGTTATTATAATAGTTCAAAACAAACAAACAAACAAAACCCATGGCAGCCCATGTTGCTGCTTTTCAAACTGACCAAATGGACTTTTTGCTGTTAAAAAGTTAAAAAACAACAAAACAACAGTAGAGGAGACAGAGATTCCTGCTACTACGTACCGAGGGGACCGGCTTTCAGTTGCCATAGAAGGAAGCAGTTTTTTCCTGGAACCAGGCCAGCAAGTTTGAAGCATCTTCCCTGGAGGAGCTTCTGTTTGTTCTGTTTTGTTCTCTGTTCATGATGTCCTTTTTTTTTTTTTTTTTAAGATTTATTTATTTATGCATACAGAACTGGGGTACAGGCCAGAGGTTCAGGAGCAGTGAGAGGAGGATTTACCAGAGACAGAGTGGGGAGCAGAACAGGCAGATCGATGAAGTACACTGCTTAGGGGAGCAGCGGGCAGGTCAGGAGAGGTCTGCTGCGCCATGTGGTCACCTCCGGGCAGGCACGGATCGAACTCATATAGAAGTAGCTTTAGCTTCTTAGTGCTGTGCTTTAACCCGCTGCTCCATCAGGGAGGGCCCAGAATGCATTTTTTTAATCTTTCATTGCTAAATTGGTTATTCTTTTTTCTCTGATGCTGTTTTACCAAAATGGCATTGTTAGCTGTCTGAATGTAGAGTGAAGACCTCATTGTTTGTTTTACTTTCTAGTAGACAGGTTATTTTTGGAGAAAATGTTTTTAATCTTACTTCATAGATAAAAGGGTTCATGGATAGCTCCTAGCGGCTGGATGACTACCCTGAAATTGTATACTATTGTGTGAAGACTATGAGGATATGTATTTAGATATATAATTTTCTAGTTTGAGCCTCCATACCTTTCATCAGTTTCTCAAAACTTTCTCAAGCCATTGGTTTAAAAGGATCAGAGGAAAAATATAGCTCTTGCTTTTAAATACTTGGTTCAGAAGTTTAACATCCTTGAGGAATTCCAAAGCTAGTTTTATAATTGAGACTATTATAAAGGAACAGAGGATTATAGACATTATTTAGCAAATCATGTCAAGGTTTGTTTTTGTCTCAGAAATTTCCTTCAGATTATTTTCTTCTGTCCAGATCATCCTCATGGCATCTCTTTGCCTTAATGGTGCTACTGTGCTATTTCATCATAATACTCATAATGTCATTTTAATACATGACCTTTATACCTCTTATCAGGCACAAAAGTCAAAGTCTAAGTCTCCCTGAAACATGTTTTGAACTTGGAATTGTGGTAGGAAAGGGAATTGTGAAGAGAAAGTCAACAACTTTTTGCTTAGCATATTTGTGTGGTTTCAAAAGAATGGAGACTATTTTTCAAACAGACATGTATTTGTGGTTTCAGAAAGGAATAATACTTTCTTCCCTGAATAGGATGATTCTGATTAGATGAAATCTGTAGTTGTTGCAAAATTTACTCTAGAAATCTTAAAGATGATGTTGAAGTAATTTCAAACATGACCTTAAGGTAACTTTTAGGCAGAAACATATTTGATGACATGGTAATAGGTGGTTGGTGTCTTTTCTTATAATTTCAGTGATTTTGATCAATTATTCTCAGCCCAGGGATCTTTAGAATGTTGTGAAAGATCAGGAACTAACTATCTGTCATCCTACTATATTTTCCTTGTAAATGTATTCACAGGTAAAACATGTATTTTATTCCTATATAATTCAGCTGTCAACAAATATTGTTTATTACATATGACACATTGTGTTATGATTTGGGACCCACAAATAGTAAAAAAACAAACAATGAAAGCAAAGCAAATGTCTAGTTAAATGCATAATCTTTTAGAGATTAATTAAATTACACACATTTTAAAACTATATAATCAAATAAATAGGGGATTATGTCTATAAAACTTGCATTCTTTTTGAATAAGAAGTTTTTAACTGTAAATAGAAATTTCATTTCTCGTGTCTTTTAACTCTATTAGGATCACCCTCAAATACAAGGATATATTTCAAACATGCTTAATAATTGGGGTATCTGCTTCAAAGATAGTATTAAAAGCACCTTACAAATAACCCATTAAAAATCAGTTGCCAGAGGGCCCTCCTGGTGGCGCAGCGGGTTAAGGCACTGCACTGAGAAGCTAAAGCCACTTCCGCATGAGTTCGATCCCCGCCTGCCCTGGAGGAGATCCACATGGGAGGCAGACCTCTCCTGACCCGCCCGCTGCTCCCCTTAGCAGTGTACTTCATTGATCTGTCTGTTCTGCACCCCACTCTGTCTCTGGTGAATCCTCTCACCCTCCGCATCTCTGGCCTGTACCCCAGCTCTGTATGAATAAATAAATAAATCTTTAAAAAAAAATCAGTTGGCAGAATAGTTTTGGGATTGTTGTTCTTGTAATTGTCTTAACCTAATTTGATATATTATACTGTATATGTATAGATATTGCCAAAGTTTGTAAACAATGAAAGAATCTACTCCATGGGTTATGCTCAACAAGGATTCTAATTGGGAAACATTCACCTAAGATATAGTCATACAGATATCCAGATTGAAAGATTTCCTGGAGCCATGTGATGTATGTAATGGAAAGAGAGTGGGGGTTAGATACCAAGATCTGAAATGTTTGTCAATGTTGTTTTCCATTAGGGTAAACTTTTGTCCAGGTTTTTTGGGGATGTTCATGGTTTCTGTCTTGTTCTAACACTTATATACTACCATCTTTCATTCATAAAAAATGTATTGAGTTGGACAAAAAATTTTATGACTATGACCATTGTTTTCAGAATAATAAAGATTGCTAAAGAGATACATAAATAGTAATGTAATCATTTTGGCAGAGTAATTAAGGTGACTTTGTAAGAGTAATTATGTTTTAATCAGATACTCTTGCACAAATTGGTATAACTTTTATTTGAGTAGTTGTGTAATAGCCTGTTATTCCAAAGTGTGCTATTTTGAAATTAAGTGATATATTATGATTACAAGGAATAGTGAGACCTTGTGATAAGGATAAATTCTATTTAACTAAAATTTCAATGGGTTCACTAAACTAATTGAGACAAATAGAAGCAATTATCTCATTTTTCCATATTTAATTCAATTTATAATGTTCTTACAGCTTGTTTATTTTTTTAAATCATTTTCATGAGGTATTTACATTCCCATTTATTAGTTTTGGAATATAATAATAGTATGTTATGTTCGGAAGCCATTATAAGTAACTATATTTTTATTTTTATTCCTCTGAGTTTCATCTTAAGCCTGCAGTTTCTCAAAGGAAAAGATTTTCATGCAACTCTCCTCTGAAACCCTTTTTACTTCAGATAATCTGATTAATCTCTGTAAAATGGCTGTACCCTACCTTTTAAAATTTCTTCCTGGGGAACTGTTAGAGGACTTGTATTAATTTTAAACAAAGTAAAACAAAACCAGTTTTTACCACTAGCCAGTGAGTTTCCAACAACTTCAAGGTCCCTTTATCAGTAGGAAGAAGAAACTAATTCTGCCTAAATCTGAGAAACCATTCATTAAACACTAGGAAGACTACAGAAACTTGGCAAGCTAGCATCAGCTCACCATATGGAACTTTTAAAAATATAGTTTCTGGGACAAGATGTTGGGGGATAATAATTACAACTTCACAGAGTTGCTAAAAATATTAAATAGATAAATGTATATGAAAGCATCTGGCAAGTAACCTACAATTTTAAATAGGTTCTCAGTAGATCTGGAAAGAATGAAGAGTCAAGGGAACATAACCTACAAAATAATGCTCTTTCTTTTATTTTTTTCTATGCCAGCCAAGACCCTCTCCTTTAAAGAATGGTACAAATGACCATGAATAAAAGTTCATTTGAGTGATTCAGCTAGTGATTTTCACAAGTTTTATATGTCATTTCAATCATTCAAATTTTTTTTTTTACTTCCAAAATCTGAAATTGAAGATTCTGAACCACCTAGATTAGGATTTGAGGTCACCAAAAGACTCAATTTTACTATCTCCATCTACTGGCAGGGAGGAACTATACCCAAGCATCTGGACTGGCATAGAAAAGAGGAGAAAGACCATTTAAAAGGTAAGCAAAACATATATTTTTATTTATTATGAATTTTTAAGTTTTTCTGATCATACACTTCAACATACATAACTACGTATAATACAAAACTTTTATAATACACTCTTACATACACTTTAACATACATAACTACGTATAATACAAAACTTTTATAATACACTCTTACATAAGGTTGATATACTGAACCTAAAGAAGAGAATTTGTTTAGGTGGTATATAATACTCTTGTCTTATTCTTCAAAATGAACATGTCTTCCTTGAACTTCCCAATATTTCTCTAGACATTCCAATAGTCCAGTACTATTTTCATATTCCTAATAATTTTCAAGCTGCAGTGTGTTAACTGAAATATCTCTGTTCTCATTTCTGAATTCTCTGATATATTAATTTCACCTGACATATTATTTTGGTTGTTACATTGTAGAAAGAGTGATTTATTTATCTAGTGTTTCTTAAACATTTTTCCATCTGTCATTTATAACTATTTCTTTTGGCTGAAAGTACCCATTCGATTGTTAATTGATGAGGAAAATATTTACTATATATTATATGTTTTATTTTCAATTTTGGAATTTTGCTTTTCCATCAGAAATATTTTGTTTTGGTTCACTTTTAACAAGAACACACCATTATCATCAAATTTTCAAGTCTGATAATAACAACAAAATAGGTATTTAAATGGTTTGGGTGGTTGTGTAGAAATAGATCTCTGTAAATTTATACAACATACTTTAGATGATTAGTATAGTTTCTCCTAAGGTTTTTTTTTTTTGTTTTAAGTCCTATTTCTATGTCATCTTGCTAATAATAGCCATTTACAAATATAATTAGTATTGTTATACATGCTGCAGTTAAAATCAGTATAATTCATAACTATGTATAATTTACTTATTTTCCACTGTCCTGCACCCCCAGGACATTTATCTCATTGTGGGGGGGAAGTTCCATTACTTTCAGGAGAGGAATAGATGGATTTATAGGCAAAATGGATAGAAACTTTTCACACAAAAGTGGAATTTCATGGGCAAGAATTTTCAAGGAAATGCACTGGTTCAACAGGTCTGTTTCCTTGCTGGAAGGTCACAGTGCAGCAGGTCCATTTGCCCTGTGGATTACCCTCATGTAAACCAGATGTGCCATGGAGATGGAGCTGCAGATCTTCTTGGAGCATTTGATGCTATCCAATCTGACAGGCATCTCCACATGTCTCGCTGAGATGAGAAAATAGGGAAGTAGTATTTTTGAATAATGTTGAAAGCACTCATGGTAATATGGTGTTAGAGAATAATACAAGTGAAACCTGGGGTGGACTTTCTACAGTATACTTCAGTCAAAATATTTTTTAAAAAGTATGTTTATTTTGAGCCCTCCCAAGTGGTTAGGAGGGTTGGAGTGCAGCGGTAGGAAGCTAAAAGCCACTTCAGCATGAGTTCGATCCCCACCCCTGGGATGACCTGCACAGCGTGGCAAATCTCTCCTCGCCTGTCCACAGCTCCCCTCAGCAGTGTTTAAAAAACAAAAAACTGTATTTATTTTGAATAAAGGTATCTGTCTCCTTGGATTTGTCTCATCTTCTGTCACAACTCTTCTTTTTAGAGTTCTTGTCTCTAGGTCTTTGGTTTGATTTTAAAACTATTGTCGTAAAACTAGCTATTGCCGAACAATTCTACTAACTAATATTTTCCAGTCAATCTGGGAGAAAATCTACTTAACATAGTCAAGTTTATGCTTACTTACACTTTTGTAATAGATGAACTAGATGATAAAATTATGTTAGGTGGGATGAATAGCTTGGCATGATTAGGTAGTTTCATGATCTTTATTAAAGATGTCTGCTTTGAGAAATAAATTTAAGCAGTTTATCTTCCTATCAGTATGATTTAGCTTACAAATTTATGACTTCATTTCTTTCAAAAATCTCACATTTGTAATTTATTTCTATTTTGACATCACTTTATATGACAAGAGTTGTTGAGGGTAAAGTGGGTAGAAGTGATGCTTTCTAGCAAGGCAGCATGGTTAGAACAGTCATGAAAATGTCACCTTAGCTTCTGAGGGCCTGCTGTTTCCCAGTTGAATTTCTCCCTTTTATTCCTGACATCATTTTGTGGAAAACGAAGATCTTGCTAACAGTATAGTTTATATATTTCATATATAGCTTGTGGAAATAAAAACATGTTATTTATTGAACGCATTTAATAATATTCAAAATATATATAAAAGGATGTGATTTGTATAGAAGTAATCACAATCTATTATTTTTCTTTTTTTGGATAATATTTATGAGGTATTCATAGATAAATTATATGTATTCACCCTTGAACATAAATGCTAAATATAAACAGGAAGCAGTAAAGTGTCTTTTTTCAGTGTTAATGATTGCTGAGTATTTTAGTACTGAAACAAAAATATTCCATTTTTATCGTGTCTCAGGAATCTTTGTCTTGTCCTAATTTGGAACTTAACCTAAAGGAGAATTTTAAACATTTTAAATATTCATTAATTGGCTTTAATTTATTTCTTATGAAAGAGTGAGTTTATATTGATTGCTTTCTTATTTTTATTGTTGAATTTTAAACATCTTCCTATCAAAATGTCAGTACGTTGTGAACAGTTGTAGACCTTGTTTGTTCAGAAAGAAATAGGTAGCTATTTGAAGTTGCTGGTAAAATCCAATCTGAATGTTTAATCCTATAGCTAGAAAATTGACAGATGCTTAAGCTCCAAAACAGATAAAGTCTTTATGATGCTATTTCTCTTAAACCATATAGATATTAGATTATATAATGTAAATTTGTGCTTCATCATTTTAGCCAGTTTTTGTCATAATTATATTATTTCATATAAAATGTAACGTAATGCTCGAAATTCTTCATAGCGCCTAGCATTTTATCTAAACTCTCTACAATGAATAATATTGTCATTTTTTAGAGAGATAAGTAAATATTGAAAAAAAGAAAATCAGGGAATCTTTAAAGTGAATCTTTTCTTTCTTTCTTTCTTTTTATTGTAATGTGAATTACTCCTGTTTATTTCTGTTCTGTATTCTAGTTTGACCTCTGTTATATTTAAGACAATACACGACTTAACACAGAATAAAATATAATAGTGATGCCTATAAACATCTCATAATACTGGTGTGTGTAATTTTCTGTGTATACAATTATAATTGCTAATTAATGTGCAGTAAAGGCTTTGATGGGATTCTTTGTTTATATACTTGTGGCAAGATTATTGCCAGTTTGTCTTCCACAATTGAGTCGTCATTTTTAAAACATTATATCCCTTTGTATAAAATCAAAACAGGATATATATTATCTTAAGGCTGAAATACCATGCTGTCAAATCTTTATTATTTCTATCTGTCATATCTCAATAACAGAAGAATTTAACAGATCTTACTTGCTCTGACTTTTATGATGCCAGTTGAGACATTTTAGAGCGTGGAAATGGAACACTTGAAATAATTTACCAGGATTACAGTTCTAAGTCAAGACCATCTCAGCCAAACCCATGCATGAGTTTATAATCATTGTATGATCTTGGTTGCAAGTATAAAGAAAAACTTAACTCTAACTGCTTCAATAGTAGCGGTGATTTATTTAGCCATGTACCTGAAAAGCCCAGAGATAGAATGAGCTTGTTGTGTGGTAGGAACTAAGATCTAGGTCTCTTTTTCAGTGTGCCCATGTTTCTGCCATTTTTTGCCTACTTTCCCTTCTGACTGAACTCCATTGATACAGTAATTGTGGATCTTCTTTACCCAACATGGTCTAATCTCCAGCTGGTAAAACAAGTCACTAGGCTTGAACAGGCATCTAGAGATCTCCATGCAGTGAGAAAAGTGACTTACATTGAGTTTTCAGGGATACTTCCGGGGGATGAACCAGCTGTTCTTTATCCAGAGACCGTTTCACAGTGGTGATGGGAGATGTTGAGAAGGGGTTCACTATTTTAACTTTGTTTTCACATGGAAGATTTGCTCACATTTCTTCCATTGCTCATCAGTAGATTGGAGACTAATGACTTAATTCTTTATTTCTTATTAGATGCAAAAGAGTGAAAATCTTTTGAAAAAACAGTGTTAAAGAGATGGCAAATTTGCCCCCAAAGGATTTTTTTTCCTCCTCTTTAATCTATCTGAGGAAGGGAACTAGAAATTTGAAATCCCATCCTAAACAATAATTATGTCTTGCTTAATCAATTGGATATTTACAAAGTTAGAATACCATACACAATCACCAGTATTGCATTTTCTTATAAAGAAATTATCTATTTATTGAAGTCAGAAAAGCTGAGTACCTCATAATAATTTTCTCTCAGGGAATTTGAATTAGAATAGGATAGAAAAGTTTTGCTTTTCACATATACACAAAGAAATAATTACCTAGGTGGTTAATTTATATAGTTACTTAATTTTAATTTTAAAACAACCTGTGATTATCTTTAATTATTAAAAAATATACTGATATGAAGTGTCTGGCCTGAACTAGTAGATCTTATCATCAGTGGATACATATGTCAGAGTTAGATAAAATTATCGTTATAATTGTGGCATTCCTAAGAGTGTGGTAAAGTTATAGAATGTTTCATTCTTTACAAATAAGCAAGCACGTTAGGAAAATGAGAAATCTCAACAGAGTATGCTAAAACCTATTGTCTAGGTTATGACAAACTGACTTCTAGTAAGACAGCACATTCAGTGACTTTAACTGGGGAGGAGGATAAATTGTAACCACTTCTCATCTGTATGCATACAGTCTTTAGAAACCTGGGACTGAGGATGGATGTTGAAATATAAAATTGTTTTCTGCCATGTTCTGTGATATCAAGCTTCTTTATACTGTCAAAATGTACAATGTAGTAAGATGTACAGGCTTGCTGCTAGTTTTGAACTTCAGTAGAAATAGATTTGCCTTCTTGGATTCATAGTGTAATAAAAAAAAGAAACTGCAGTGTATATTATTAGAAACAACATTATAATTAACATACATTATTATCCGAGTGTCTGCGTGTGTAACATACATAAGATTAAAATATGCAGCCCTGAAGGTTGGCATTCTGAAAAAAAGTAACACTGGAGGAAAGGTTTGATAACGGGTGAGTGAATATTCGCTTAATAGTATGCCTACTGTAGGAATGATGTTTTATTTCAGTCCCAGGAGTTGAAGTTGTCACATCAAGACAAGGATTTGTTTAGTTTTGGATGCCTTGGTAGAGGGCACGAAATATAATAGGTTCTCCACACACGATTTTTTTTTTTTTTAAGATTTATTTATTTGTACATACAGAACTGGGGGACAGACCAGAGGCTCAGGGGCTGAGAGGCTTCACCAGAGACAGAGGGGGGAGCAGAACAGAAAGATCTACGAAGTACACTGCTGAGGGGAGCAGCGGGCGGGTCAGGAGAGGTCTGCCTCGCCATGTGGGTCACCTCCGGGGCAGGCAGGGATCGAACTCATGCGAAAGTGGCTTTAGCTTCTCAGTGCAGTGCTTTAACCTGCTGCGCCACCAGGGAGGGCCCTCCACACATGATTTTTGACTTTTGGAATAAAATGCCAATCTTTCAGGATAAATTTATGTATCTCAAATTGGTATGTCTTAAACAATTATATTTGCTTTGTGGTTCATTTAACATAAATCCCTTCTTTTACATTAGTGAACTGTAATTTGTGAACAGTTTGAAGTAGACAACACTAACTGTGCTCATTGTCTCAGTTTTATTGAGATGTGGGGAACAATGGATTGAGCTGATAATAGAACAAGAACTAGAATCCAAGTTGTCTGCCTATTGTACATTTGTATTTATGGTCACTGTTTAAAATATTTAGCATGAAGATGGGACCTTCCTGTGTTGACTGGAATTTATGGAAAGATACTTGCTTGCATTGTGGAGGTCAAGAACAATTCTCTATGGACTCAAATAAGATTAAAGATGAGAGGACTTCAGATTTTCTGGGCAAAATGGTACCAGTTGACAGTGCCAGTGAAACTGACCATATATATGTATAAATGAAAGTTAACTTGCATACCATAATCTATGAAGTAAAGATGATTAACATGCTTATCATTTTAACTGATTATAGGTAAACTTGAAAGGCTTATAGAAAGTTAATAAGAGTGACTGCAGAAATTGGTATATAAGCAAACTACAGAGGAGGATAAAGAATTAACGCACTAGAAAAGAACAGTGAAAAGCACAAGTGCAGTGACTATGTATATTTATCACATAAGAATTTAAAAATAGGTGCTATCGACAGTTACAGAAGTACCTTACTAACACATAGTTTGAATTTAACATCTATTTGGAAGTAAACCCATAAAAATCTCACAAAATATCTGTCGGTGACATGTCACTGCAGACTTGCCTCTGTGTGTGAAAAGCAGATCTTCAGAACTCTAACTAAGCCATGACTAGACACATTTTTTTTTAGCCTAGTTTTTAACCTGACAGGTTTTTTTTGCTAGTCAATTTAAAACACGAGCACAGAAAAGGACGTGCATGTTATCCAGAGAACTCTTTTTTTGTGTGTTATCTTTATTAGTAATAGAACATTTTCAAATATTCTAATTGGTATTGATTTATGCTTCTGTTGTTTCTACTCTCTTCCATTCATTATAAACACATATTTAAAGGATGAACAGTATGAAGTATATGACAAATATTTTGAAATTGCTTTGATTTTAATGCCAAACCTATTGAATGTGTACAAATATATAATGGTTTTGTATAATTGAATTGTGTGTACATAGGTGTAATCAACCGCTTCACAGTTTTATATATTATTAATCTCCTTTCTTTTTTTAGTTTTTGTTTCATTTTAGTTTTCAATCTCCTGCCTTGAGAGGGGTTGGGCAGGCTACTATGAAATGATGTACAATTGTAATTTTAAAAATTCAGTTTTTATATTTTCATACTGAATTTACTATCTAAGATGAACAAGGTTATTAGTGTTTAGGATGCATTGCAAGAAAGATATGATAAATATTTTAGTGGTTTGACTATAAACACTTGCCTTATTTCATTGGTACTTCCCTGAGTCTACTGTCACCAGGTGGGGGAAAGCAAATATTCATTAGAAGACTTAGAAAACATGTACTGTCTTCTCCATAAATACTTGTAAAGTTATATGCTTTGAAAAATTACTTTGAAAAAAAAAACAGAATTGTAAATTCAGTGTCCATTGGGTAGAACTTAAGTTATCTGCTTCTCTTTCTTTTTGATTATAGGTCTCATTGTTTGAGATTTACATAAAACCTTGACAGTCATGAGCAAATCATGTGTGTTTGGTGGCAAACCTCACTGCATTTTTGGGAACAGCAATTTAACTTAAAAGGAAATTTACAATTCTTTTACCACAAATTAGGCCTAGATTTTTGGTCTTTAAATTATGTCTAATTATAGTTAATGAAGTTGTGAATTATAAAAAGGGAGAAAAAGACGTAAACACAATGGAAGTGCGTACATTTTAGCGATGAGCTCTTTTCACTAAAGCTATAAAAATAAATTCATACTATCCTAGTAGATCATGTATGAAAGAATAAGCATGCCTATCATTTGTAAAGTACCTTGGATGAAATAGGCATGTATATGGGGGCAGATATTAAATTTTAATAAAAAAGGATTAGAAAAATTAATTTGTTAAAAAGATTAGTTGGGCCCTCCATGGTGGCGCAATGAGTTAGGAGGTAGCACTGCAAGCAGCCGGTAGCCGCTCCAGTGCGGGTTCAATACCCCGCCCTGGAGATGACCCACATGGCGCGGCAGACCTCTCCTGATCCACCCGCTGCTCTCCTCAGCAGTGTACCTAGTCGATCTGCCTGTCCTGCTCCCCACTCTGGTGAAGCCTCTCAACGCTCCTGCCATATGGCATATACCCCAATTCTGTGTTCACAAATAAATAAAGCTTTAAAAAAAATAAAAATTTTAATTACCAAATAGGAAAGACTCTATTGGCTATTGCTATAAACACCTCTCATGTGTAGGTTACTGGGGAAATTGAGACTGTAGGCCAGTATCTCATGTTTAAAGGAAATCTTTGAAGTCAACTGAATAATTTAATTCCAATAATTTTGTCCCTTAATAAAATTTGCCACTATAGAAGAGAATTCATGTAACTTGACAGGTCTTTCTGTGTTCTCAGAAAATATATCAGTGATAAATTATGTACACATGTTGATTAATTCATTTTGTTATTATAGCGAACAACAGTATCATTTTTGGCATCCAGTAAGGATGAATATGTTTCTGTGTAAGGGGTTACTTGCTGATCAGGACAGGTGAGGAGCTGAGAAAAATGATGGCATTAGATTATTTATTTAATTTAAAAGTCCTTTGGCACTTAAAGCATATTTGCTAAGATGACGGTCTGCCCCATAATGTGCACTGTACATATTGAACAGAAATTATTCCTCTTTCCCTTATTTTCAAAGTCATAAGTTAAATATAAAATAACATTTCTCAGACTGATTTTTGAAACAACCATGATTAATGAAAATGAAAAGGCTGCTTCAGTGATCATAATTACAATTTCTTAAATCTATTTTGGGTATTTTTGCAATAATACAAGTTGTTCTTTAATCTTAAAAATATCCTAACTTATAGACAATCCTTAATATTATTTTAAGTTCAGAAAGTTTCTCAGGAAAATATCCTAAAATTTAATTTCACATAGGTGAAATACTCGGTTTTGACTGCTACATAAATGTAAAATGAAAAGTTGTTTCAGCTACTGTAATTGCTAAACAAGAACAGAAAGAAATAATTGCAACCCAAACATCACTGTGTACAATGTCCCTTTTCTCACATGTTGTAAGAAATTATTTACTTTGCAATTTAAAATAATCTTATTTTCTGGGTCATCTTGATTTCTGAATAAATTCTGAAATATGGTCCTTAGTTGATAATTGTATAAAGGCTACCCCCAATTGTATAGGGGTAAAATGTGAATGAACTTATTTTGAATCCTATAATTTTTGAAATATCTGTTCTAAATGTACGTCTACCTCTGTTTTGCCTTAGGAGTACAAGATCCTCAGCATGAGAGAATCATTACTGTGTCTACTAATGGAAGTATTCACAGCCCGAGGTTTCCTCATACTTATCCAAGAAATATGGTCTTGGTATGGAGATTAGTAGCAGCAGAGGAAAATGTATGGATACAGCTTACATTTGATGAAAGATTTGGGCTTGAAGACCCAGAAGATGACATATGCAAGTAAGTTGTTTCATTTTGATACTGAGGGTTTTAAATCTTTTGTAAGGTGTTTCTGATAGGAGAAATAAGGTTGTAACCTTATTAAAGCTATATTTTACTTAAAAGCCTCATTTAAAACTAGAGGATACACATACGTACACATACACTCATTGATTTCTACTTCTCAAAATAATTTGAAGGAATTTATGTAAGATGATTTAAGTCCAGAACAGGGAATGAAAGTTCAAATAAAGGAATTCTATTGTACTAGAAATCTGATTTACTGTTAGCGCTAAAAGCTTTACATTTGAGCTTCCCTGTAGCCAAATCAACAAAATAAAATATCAGCTATTAAGAGACAAAAATCTGCATGGGTATTTATAACCCACAGTATTATACAGATATACAGTCTACAACAGAAGATATACAGTCTAAAAACAGAATTAGCAATTTAAGTTAACATGGTTTGCCAGGTAGAAATTCTTCATAATTTTCCTAGAAGCTTTCATGAACAGAAGTCAGCTGGAATATTTCACCCACGCAAAAGACCACCTACTATATGTCATCCAAATATTACTCTTTAAATCCTTCGTGAATACACTTGTCAAGGTTGGGTGGTCTTATTGAAGATTTCTCACTTCAGTGGCATTGGTATACCATGAAAATATTTTGCTTAAGCTTCTTTGTGAAGTTATTTTCTCTTTGATATCCAAGTTAAAAGAGGATTTTCATTTTATGGTATATTATAGATAAATATTTCAGCACAGAAGAAATAAACTTTGTACATGCTGTCATCACAATGCAAAACTTTAACATTTATAGTTAGTTTTTTTCTCATCTCTTCTTTCTGGGACTATGCATTTCTTGTTATTTTTTTTTCTTACATCTATAATCTTAAGACTTTGAGAAGTAGAAGCTGTCCAAGCTTTCTTTAGGCGGTGTAATTGAATCCTTCATTTTATAGATAAGAAAACAGTGATCAGAGAAATAGCTGCCTTTGAGTCAGTATCATTCACTTCTTACACTTAAATGCTGAAATCCATTTTCACTAACACTAACAGAGAGAGTCTTTTTACCATGATGAACTTCACTTATTCTTTCTATGTAGAAAGATTCCACAATCTTATCAAAAATTGGGGAGGGTTTATTTAAAAATGTGCCCTACTTGCAAAGTAGCAATTTATCTTACTACAGTTTCATGAATTCTGATTGAAAACAGGAGACTCCTAAAAAGTCCAAGGACTGTCAGACATTGTAGCACCTAGGTTAGTATCAGAACTGCCTGTGTCTCTTCCCCTGCTCCCAGTTTTCGTAGGTGAGGGCCGCAAGGCCCACAGAGGAAGACAGAGAGGGTGCTCTGTCTTAGAAGTATGCACAGGTTTGTGTATGCATGTAGTTAAAACAAAACTTAGCCGATCAGCCATCTTGCCTCACCTCACCTATAATTCTGTCTTACTCGGTATGAGATTTAGGCAAATTGAGTTTCCTTTGGTTCTCCCTGAAGATACCTCCTTGTCCTTGCATATGTGACCTCTGTTTTGGTTCTAGGTTGTTTTCCTACTCTCCTGATTTTCTGTAATGCTGCACATGTTCTTATTGCCCTATATACTATCCCATGAAAATATATTTTCCTATTTTTAAACATATTACAAATAAATACCATGTGTTTACTTGTGGTGTATGTGTTTCAAAACAAGCAAAATTGAAAACCATGCATCTTTGAAGTAAGTTCAAGTTCATGTATATATAATTTAAACAATTTCTTTTATTTGATGTAAAATGTCCTAGCATATAAATCACCTGACCTGTATGTTCTACTTTGATAAGTGTTTGGCTTGTTTCTAGTTCTTGTGCAAAGTGCATTGAAATCCATTCAGCCACTTCTTTTGTCTGGTGAATTCAGTCCATTGAAGGGGATTATTGAGACATGAGTGCTCATTGCCATGTTGCTATGCTGTGTTGTGTGTGTGTACATGTATATGTATTTTGTTTTATTTTATTTTTTGGTTATTTTGGTTTGTTCTCTCTCAGTCTCTGTCTCTCTTGGCTGCCTGTCATGTTTTGTTCTAGTCCTGTTGTCTGATGTGTTACCTCTATTATTTTTTGTTTGCAGGTTCCACTGAGCTTAGTGTTTGACCATTTTGCGATCCTTGACTGCCTGGTCTCTCACCGGCTCGGGTCAACCACTTTGTTACTTCCTTCTCAGCTATGTTAATTTAGGTGTTTGCTGTCTCAGTATTTGCTGTTTCACTGCATATTATAACCCCTTTACTATTTCTTTCATGTGTGGCTTGGTCTTCATACATTCTGTTAGATTTTGCTTTTCAGTGAAGCAGCTTACTCTTCTTTCTGTCTTGAATGTTAATCTTACTGGGTAAAAGAGACTGGGCTGGAAGTCTTTTTTCTTTAAGTTCTTTAAATCCTTCAAGTCCCTTCGTTCTCCTATGTTTCCACTGAAAAAATCCACTAGCAGTCTGGCATGCTTTTATTGGGAACTCTTTTCATTTGGTGTTTTTAATATTCTGTCCTCATCATTGGTTCTCAGCATCTTTATTGTAGTGTCTTGGTGTGTGTCTGTCTGGTATGATTTTGTGTGAGCTCTTCTGCCCTCCTGGATTGCGATGTCTGGTTTGTTTCCCAGATGAAGATGGCTTTCAGTGATTACTTCTTTAAATGCGATTGTGTATGCTTTTCTCTTTCTCCTTCTGGAACCCCAAGAACAGATATTATTTTTCTTCAGTAATCCAGAGAGCTCTCTCTATTTTCTTTTCTTATTCCTTTTTTCCTGTGCATTGTTCTGTTGTTCTCCAACATTGTCTTTTTCAAGCTCATTAATTGTCTCCATTGGTTCTGTTAGTCCTTAATTGTATTTTTAAAATCAGCTAAAGTGTTTCTTACTTATCTCTGATCGTGGTTGTCTCATATTTTAATCATCTTTATTTTGTTGTGTTTTTTGAGCTCCATAAGCGTCACCAGAGCCAACACTCAACCGCCCCGACACCCCCCCCCCCCCAACACACAACACCATCATGTCCCCAGCTCTGCTGAGCTGGGGTGCCTTTTAGAATTTGTTTTATATGCTGCATTTGTGGTACCTTCTTCTGTTTCTCCATTTAAGTTTTTTTCTGGGTTTTAATAGGTATAGATTTTCAAATGCTGTCTCTGCACCTGTTCAAGTAATTTGAGGATTAGTACTGTCAAGGGCAGAGCAGTGGGGCACCAGAGTGTCACCTCCAGTGGCTCAGGAATTTGAACTCCTGCTGTGCTGCGGGCTCCAGAGTGACCACTCCTCCAGAGTATCTCTTACAGACTGTGGCCACCTCTACTCTCTGCTCTTTTAAGCTCTCGATGCAGCACTGAGCACTTATAGCTGAGATGGGGGTCAGAGGTCAGGAGTCAATATCTTTTCTCTTCCAGCAAAGAATTGTTCTGGAGTGTTTGCTCCTGTTATTGGTAGGTGCTTGGCGCTAGT